GGTGATTTGGATCTTGGTGAATTTTCTGGCAGATAAACACTTCGCGCTGTGCGCAGGTCGCTGAATGACAAGTATCTGTTGGGAGCGCTGTGCGCAGACCCTGCCATGCTGCTGTGGGCACAACGACAGAACGAACGAGACTAAGATCCCTGCTTCATGGACTGCACACTCTGTGCTAGAAGGAAAACAGAGCAAAGAAAACAGCCTAAAACTGGAATGTGAGCAAGAGAGCGAGCCTGAGAGATAGAGACTGGGAGGAGGGGATGGAGCATCCCACCGCCGCCGCTCGGGTCCTTTGGCTCTAATCGCCCTTAGGTGTTGTTGACAACGCTTCCCTGAGGGATAGGGTGGCATTCCTTGTTTACAGCTACACTGAAAGCGGGCAAGTTATGTAGCAAGCCAGTGCCGTAAGGGGGTAAATAACGGAATGGGATCCAAATTCAGGTCTGACTTCAAAGTACGAGGCTGTGTCCCTCGGGGGGGATTTAAGAGAGTCAAAGAGAGAAATTGCTCCGCTGGAGGTGAGGGTGGGAGTGCGAGCTTATCTGAGCTGAAACGGGAAGACAGAAAAGAGCTGGACGTCCTGCAGAAGGGAAGGACCTTTCAGGCCAAGAGAACAGCTTGAGCAAGAGGCCAACGCTTGGGGCGGATACAGAGAATTCTAGGTAGTTCCAGGAAAGCACGCGCTTCCGCTTGACTCTGGCTCAGGACCCGCGGTGGAAAGACGAGGAGCAGGAGGGGGTGGCCGAGGAGCCAGGACTGGCTGTGGGACCTGCGCATCCTCTGGTTGACAGCGGAGCCAATGAAGGTGTTCAACGGTGGTCAGGTGGTGACCGGGCACAGGATGGGGTGAGGGGCGGGGACCTTGGAGGGAGACACCAGACAGAAGTCATCAAGGGACGGTGAGGCATCACCGCAAATGGAAACACGGCTCATGGCAGGGACACAGAAGCGGGCAGCGGACAGCTGCGGGCCACGGGCCTGGCACAGATGACCCGTGAGTTGCTCTTGGAAACCCGCTGCGTGGCTGTTGGCAGTGGACTCCCAGGAGACAGCGGGGGTTGGCGCAGGCTGGCAGAGTCTCCCACAGGCTGGCTGGACCTGGGACGAGTCACCACATTCCAGAGTCTGATCCCCGGTTTTGTACGCTAAGAAATTTGATATGTTCTCATTTTTAATCAGACTCCAGCTGACTGGCGTGAAGCATGAGTGCCTTCACATCAGTCGTCAGGAGAGCGCCCCAAAGTCACTCTGCAAAGAAATAGGGGGGCCAAGACTCCCACTTCTGGGGCCTGAGTCCCATGTGGCCAAGACGAGGCCACAGAGCTTTCCTTGGCCACAGTGGGAACAATGGAAGATTTTGAGAATTTCCCAGTACTCCATGTGGTAAGCAAAGGGAGGACAGAAAAGTGATACTTTTATACTTTGGAACTTTAGACCTTTTAATCTCTTCACATATAATGGCATTGAAATGTAAAGTATTTTCAAATTGCATTTTAATCTTCATCAGTTTCAGAAATTAAAGAAAAAGGAAATCCATGCATGCCCTTGGTGTGCATTTTACAGGTGAATATTTTCACCTGAGTTGTGTCTGTGTCTCCATCCTCGCTGCCCCAGGGAAGAGGCAGCGATGCCGGAGCAGGACCGAGGCGTTTCAGGTGACCCCTGCTGCAGGCGCGTTGCTTCCGGACTTAGTCATCCGTGGAAGAGGGAATTTGTTTCCTTTAACGTTTTCATTATGAAAAACTTAAATCTATGTAAGAGTAGGGAGAATAGCATAAGGATTTTCCATAGTCACAGCATCTGGATTTAACTTTAAATATTTCATCAGACTGGCAGTTACTGAATTATTAATTCATCGATTGATAGAAATTTATAAAGTAAATTCCAGACACTGTATGTCATGAAATCTCACTCCAAATCATCATGACGTGTGTTTCATAAAGAATAAGGACATCTTAAAAACATAGCCACAATGTCATTACCACAACGTTTGAAATTAATAGTATTTTCTTAATATCATGTAATACCATCTATATTCAGATATATCCAGTTCTCAAGCTTTTTTTTTTTTTTTAACATTTGGAGTGTGTAGCTCAGGAATTTAGCCGGTACATCTCTGAAGTCTCCCTTAATTTAGAACAGACCCTCTCACCCACCGCCTTTCTTTTCAATTGCCGTGGACTCGCGCAAGAGCCCTGGGCATGTGAGCGCTTGTCGCAGGGGTGTTTGGCCCGCGCCTCCCTCCCCCGACTCACTGGGGACCAGAAGTAGATGTAGACGCTTGGTGCGTTCGACGTGAGGCCCAGGACCCCCCACAGCAGGCGGCCTTGCCTCCCGGTGTGCCGAGCGGGTGGTGGTCGGAGCGTGTGGTCTGCGTGCTGATGGTGCTTTGTTAATGCTGCGTTCTCGTTGCTTCAAGGCCCGTCGTAGTCAGATTGGTAGTCCTGCCAAGTGCCCAGATGGGGTGGAAACCTGGCAACTGGATTGTCCCCGAGGTCTGACTGGGAGCCTGTTGGAGGAGACGTGTTGGCCAGGTTCAAGAGAGAAATGAAGGTGGCCGCAGAGCCGGGAGGAAGTGAGGACAGACGGGGCGATCGGAGGATGACGGAGGAGGGAGGGGAGGCCCAGCAGGCGCTGAGGGGGCCAGGGCTGCACAGAGCCAGTCGTGTCCAAACCCAAACTCCGGGTCGCCCTCCTCTGCCCCTGCCCCTCCCCCAGGCTTCCCAGCCCAGTGAACAGCAAGTCCCGTCCCCGGCCGCTGGGGACAGAGACTGTGGACTTGCTCCGCACCCTCCTCTGTCTCTCTCCTCTGCCCGTCCAGCAGCAGGTCCCGCTGCTCTACCTGAGGCACGTCTCCTGGGCCTGGGGGCTCTGGCCTCCTCCCGCCCCCACCACAGTGACCCACTCCCCACGTCTGCCCCCGTCTCTCCCCCGCCTTCTCCCCTTCAGTGGTCTCGGAGCCTTGTGTGCGATACAATTACCGTGGGGTAGCGTTAACAGTAACAAGCCGGCCACTTACCGTTTACCTGCTACGCGCATCATGCTGGCGCCGTGAAGACGTGGTCTTACCTGACACCCTCCGCATCTGCAAAAACGTTTGCTCTGCCTGTCGTATAGACGGGGGCACGGCGAAGAGCCAGAAGTCTCACAGCACGTGGCAGCACCAGGACCGGAGCCCGGATGTGCCTGGCTCCCAAGTCCACCGGCGGGATGGAGCGCCTTGCTGTCGGCAGAGCTTTCTCCTTTCCCTCGCGCGCTGCTTTGTGACTGCTCAGCCGTCTCCCTGGCAGTCAGCTCGGGGAGGGCAGGGGTCCTGTCTGCATGTTTGGTGTCTGTCGCTTGCACCTCCAGGAGTGCTTGTGCACGTTAGGGGACCACACGGCTTGTGCCAGGCCCTCGCTGGGTACTGGAGTCGCAGCTGAGGTTAGTGAACGAGACAACACTGTCCTGTCTCACGGTGCCTGTGGGCCGCAGCAGTGCTATAATCACAAGCTGTGACAGGGCTGCGGAGGGTGCCGGGGTCGGGGCAGGGTCGAGAACTGGCCTTGCACAGAGAGGCATTCAGGGACGTGGCACGTAGGGGATGGGAGCCACATGGAACCATTCAGCTTTGTCTCAGCACTCCCGGGTGGTTGCGCTTTGGTGCTTGTCTGTGCTCCGTGGCTGGTAAGGGAATGGGTTGGCGCTGCCCATCCAGTGACTTGGAAGAAATCAGTGCAGCAGTGAGAACATCTTTCTACGCAGCGATAACAAACTGCCCCTTTGTCCCTCAGTCGGGGCTGGAAATAGGTACTTTTTATTGTCCACTTCTGTGGAGGGAAGGGGAGTGTTTTTGTTCATTCGTAATGATGCTGATAGCTTACCTTTGCTGGGAACTCACCGTGTGCTATACCCTGAGCGCCTACTATGTGTTATACACTTTAGCTCTCACAAAAGCCCACGCGGCAACCCTGTTCCAAAGGTTAGGACAGCGCGGCACTGTGCGGTTAACGTGCCCAGAGTTCCCCAGTGCTCACTGCTTGGAAGCCAGGCTGGTGGTGCCTTCGAGAGCGTTCTAGTCTCCACCACAAGCCCCAGCCTCGAGGAGAAAGGTTTCCAGGAGCAGCCACGTGAGCCTTTAAAACCCAAGTCTTGGCTGGAGCCAAGGTCAGACCCACCTGCCTTTACGTGTGTGTGGTGGGGGGTGGGCGTGGGGGAGGGAGGAAGCCCTCCGCCTGTGTACCCCACTAACGGGTGATGAAAAGTGGGCACAACCCACCCACCTTCCCAACACTGTCAACTTTAAAAATTCATTTCAGAGTGCTGTGGAATCAACGACATTCAACAAGTTTTGTGAACATTTCCTACCCTTTAGAATTTTCCTGAGCCTTCCACATGGGGAATTAATTGGTCGTCATTGCCTGAAAAAAGAGCTTTCATGTTCTCACAAGCTCTTGCAGAGAACAGTTTAGTAGTTTTCTTCAGGCCTAGTCGTGGCGACGCTAACCTCCCCTTGGCCTTCGGGTGCGGGACTCCGGCCACAGAAGCGCGGTTCTCCTTTACTCCCGGTGCCCTGAGCGCCATGAGTGGGAGCGCGGGCGGGTATTTAGTGCTCTTTGATGGGGTGTGGAAGTTTCGCAGTTAGTCACTTCCCAGGCTATTAAGCAATCCGTACATCATCTCACGCCGCGCTTCGGAGCTCTGCAAACGCAAGCGCACAGGGTCGGGATGGACTCAGGCTTCCTGACTGATTTTCCCCCGAGGTGCTTAATCAAGAAATGTACATCCTTTGCCTTCTCCAACACCCTCTTCTCCTTCCCTGGAGGATGCTGTGGAGTCCTTCTCATTTTTTCTTCTGCTTCTAAACCCTTTCACAGACTGGGGTCTAGGCTGAAATGGTCCAGAACGTCACTCCTAGAAGTGGCTTTTCCCCCAGCTTGGTGGGCAGAGTCCTGCCCCTAGCGTGGCCCAGAGGACGGAGGACGTGCGAAATAAACGTGTGTTGTGGTTCCTTCCAGAGCTGGTGATGCTGCTGGAGTGGTGGTCGGGCACGGAGTGCACGCTCTACACTGACCCGCGGGCCTACGCCAAGTACGGGAAGGAGAACGCCATCGTGGTTCTGAACCACAAGTTCGAGATTGACTTCCTCTGTGGCTGGAGCCTGGCCGAACGCTTCGGGGTCTTAGGGGTAAGTCGGACATGCGCTTACACACCTGCCTCTCGCGTCTCTCTGGTCCGGCACCGTCACTTGCCTCTTTGCTCTCCGGCATTCCGAATTTGCAGAAGAATCGACAGTTTCTACTTGATGAAATGTTCTTAACAAACTGCTTTTCGTTCTTGCTTGGAGTCAGGATTAACGTCTTCTCACGAACAAAATAAGAGGTCCTCGCCGATTGCTACCCACCCGGCATCTTACATACAATTAGTTCATTTAATTTTTATGGAAACATTTATGAGCAGATGACACACCACCCTCCCTTTTTAAAAAACTAAGTTACAGAGTTTAAATATTCCGCTCAGGGTCATATAGCTGTAGTTAGATTTGGGTTTGAACTTGTCTAGTTTGACCTCAATTCATATTTTTAATTACTGTGCTCTACTGCTTGCCTGGCTACCAGGCAGAACTCACCTCTGCGTTTTGATCACTGTAGGCTTAAGAACGTCGAATCCCGAAGGCAGAAAGTTTGAATTGGAGAATTTGGAATTACTATGACATTCTGTTTTTCTCCAACTGGTTTGACGACTTCTTGCATGTAGCCTGCATGCCTTTGGAGCTGGGTCTCTTCAGTTGACTTTTGTCATCTTTAACACACCAAGGCGCATAGCAATTGAGCTGTATCATATAACTGAGTGTAATTCATCATCGGCACTCGGTGTTCCGGCGGGAATCACAGCGCCCATTGGTCCGGGCTGGGAAAGGTCCCAACAGTTTGCACCAGAACTTGGAGATCAGGTTTTGCATCTGGAAACAATGCCCTGCCTACAGGCAAGGGGGCTGCTTGTGTCACAAGTGTTTTCTGTAGCCCATGCAGACAAAATCATGGTGTTTAGAATGTAGAAGGTTGGAGATGGGGCCTTGAGACCATGGAGGACAGATGGAAATAGATTTCGTGGGTCTGATTCCTCGGGGCAGGTGAAGATCGCCTCCTGCCAACAGTGTCTCCTTTCGTTTTCCCATTTATTTATCCAGTGCTAACTCTCTGTGTGTGTATGTGTTCAAATATATTTTCAGCAACAGAAGCAAAAATTCTAGTCTCTTCCTTTCTCTGTTTTAGAGACCTTGGGCAGAGATCTCAGTTATAGTTTTGTGGCTTTTTTCTCCCTGAGGTGTGATTACCCCTTAGAACATCATAGTCCTCGTAGCCCTGTCATGGACACCAGTGGTTCTGTTCCAGGTGGAAGGGTGTGCAGTGCCTGTGTGTCTTGGCCGTCGGGACACCTGTCTCACTGCCGCCCCGTCTCCTGGAACACATGTGGCAGTTTAGATGCAGCTGGTGATTTTCCAGGCTTTCTAAGTGGTTTCTGGAAGTGTTTGTGCTTACATATGGGACCATTTACAATTTGTGGGGCAGGAGTCCTCGAGATAGAGCAAAAGCCTGTTGGACTTAGGGACACTTTCAAATCCCTGCTACCCCCTGGAGCTTTATGGCCATAAGCTCAGTCTGTGAGCCATTTGCCACCTTTATGCTGTTTCTAATCCTTATGATGTTACTATCCACATATTATAAGTAAACTCTCAGAGCCTCAGTTTCGTTAAGTGATTTGCCCAAGGACAGTAGCTAGTAAGTCTGATTTCAAGGCTTCTTCCCCCGAAGGTGCTGGGATGACAAGCTGCAGCGGCCCCAGGGGCCAGAGACCTGCCCCAGAGACCCAGCCCTGGGCTGTCACGGAAGGAGCCAGCCCCACTGCGGGCCGGACCAGGCCTCATCCTGGGGGGTGGGGGCCGTCACTACCCTCCTCGAGTCAGGGGTGGAGCCGGCAGGAACCAACAAGCTGGGACACAGCAGAGGAGCTCAGAGAGGCACACAGATGGCAGAGGTGGCAGGCAGGGGGAGACAGGCACCAATAGGTGGAAAAGGTGAACCCCGCATGGAGGAGAAGCAACACATGGAGAAGGGGACCCAGGCCCGGAGACAGGGAGAGGCTTCCGTGCAGCAGTAACTGGATCTTAGTACCATTCAGGGTTTTACTCCCAAAGGCTTTGAAATCCGTGATCACTTGGCAACTACGCACAGGGCAAGAGTGCTGATGAGCAGGAAGTCGACAGAACGCTGTCCCGTCCGCAGCATGGAGACTTCTCGTCTCCACCCCGATCTCTTACAGGAATACCATCGTTTATCACCGTGAAAACCCACACAGCAGTGCCACGGGTGCAGGAGCGGGAGCATTGCCATTGATTTTGGAGACTGTTTGTAGGAGTTTCGGAGTCTTAGGAAACCCCACCTGGGGTGGAGTAGGCAGGTCACAAAGCCGATGCCACTCTGCGCTCACGGGAAGTTTGGGAGCCTTGCTCGGTGGGGCCCTCAGGTTTTCTGGCTTCTTGCTAAAGTGCTTCCTTGAGCCTTGAGTCCCCATCAGAACTGGAGGGAGAGTGGAGAGGGGGTGAATCGCTTTCCCCCTTCTCCAGACACGGGAGAAGCAGCCAGTGCCGTTGGAGGAGAGGAGGAGGGACTCAGGAGCCTTCACCGGGGCTGGCCGGCTCCGGCTCCGGTGCGGACGACCAGACTCTGCTCTGCCAGGGGACGTCCTCCCCGCGTCGCAGGGCATAGTCCTGCCCTCTGTTAGGGGGGCTGCCGTCAGGTGGGGCACACGGGGTAGGTGAGATGTCTCTTTCCAGGTGCCTGTTAATTTCTGCTACCCTTGAAGAGGTAAGAAACAGCCTCTTGTTATAATAAATATTAATTGTTCAGCAGTATCTTTTGTCTTCAGTGACCTTCCGAGAAAACACTGCCTATTCTTTTTTTTTTTAAATAGCACATGATGTTGAGATCCTTCTGGAGTCTGAGGAATTTGCTTTTTAAAGCAGAAGGAAAAAAAGAAAGTTCGTGACTAGGCATTTTTCATCCTCCCCTATAGCAGCCTAAGTGGAAATGAGTTTAAACTGAAATCAAATGAAATTTCCAGAAATTCTTGAAGGTGGTGTTATTAAATGTTAAACTGGTTTTAGGGGAAAAGTGATAGAAGTCTCTTTAAAAGAATAAAAAGCTTTCAGTCTTTTCAAAACAAAACACTTAAGATCCTGTGTGGCCGTGGTCATTCCAGTGACCCGTCGTGGGAGGCTCTGGTTCCCCTGGGGCAGCAGGTCCTGGGATGGGCCAGGCTCCAAAGGCTTCAGTTGTGACCATGGGCTCACAGGCCGACTCTCCCCTCCCTGCGGCTGAGCGTGACATGTGGGCACCTAAGGTGCCGAATGAACAGGTGTGCGAGCAAAGGCTCAGGTTCCTGCGGTTTCAGGTCCCTGTTTGCTTATCTTCATGCCTCAGTAAAACATGCATGTGCCACTCGCCGGGAACCCCAGCAGGCTGCATAAGGTCACGACGGTGAGGCCTCTGCGCTGTGCCAGGCCCAGCGAGCAGTCTGTGAGCAGCAGCTGTTGTGTCAATATTTGTCTGAATTCTTAGGCCAAGCCGGGTATTTTTCGCCAGATCCTTAAAGAAGCCGTGTTGGTTAGTTATCCAAGCAGCTCGATGAGCCCACAGTGAGTGGCTTAAACCAACAAGCATGTCCAGAATGGTCTCTGTTTGCGTGGTCGGGAATCCAGGTGTGGCTGCACAGGTGCGAGCTCTGCCTCCGAGCTCACTCACGGCTCCTCGCCAGGACTCCATCCCCACCACGGGGCCTCCCCACAGGGTCTCCCTGGGACGTGGCAGCTGCTCCCCCCAGGGTGAGCCATGCAAGAGGGCGGGAACACCCGACACGGAAGCCATAGGCCTTTAGTGACCAGCGCGCGGAAGCGACGTCCTTCCACTTCCATCGTATGCTGTCGGTAAGCGCAGCCACGCTCCAGGGAAGCGGGGTGGGCTGCACGGGGCCGGATGCCAGGAGGCCAGGATCACGGGACCCCCTCAGAGGCTGCCTGCTCCACCATGGCATGACATCTAGTCTGAGACCGTCACTTTTCCCATTTAGTAATTCTCGTAGGGACATGAGACGGCTGGGCCTGAAAACATGGAAACGTTGTATCTCTTTGCACAGAGACAGGAGGAGGAGAACTGAGGCGTTATCCCTCAGCAGAGGCTGCTCGAAAGCTCTGCATGCCTGTTAAACAGAGGGGTTCTCGGTGATGATGAAAGCAGTGGGTGTATCTTCAAAACGTGTCCAGCGAGTGTTGTGTGTGCTTTCTGCAGGAGACACTGTGCGGGGTGCTCTGGATTGCGAGGTGCTGTCCTTGCCCTCCGGACTGCACAGCGCACAAGGAGAGGTCACGAAGGGGCAAACCCACATGCCTGCCACACAACGGGGCGGTTAACAGGGCAACAGATACGGGGGGACATTTTCACTTGGGGCGGCGGGGCGTGGGCGGGCAGGGGCGGTTCCGGTGCGTTTCGCCACAGAGCAGCCAGCGCAACACGGCGACAGCAACAGTGGCAACCTGGAGGTCCCCTGTCTGTTCTGGGTGTGTGCTGGGGAGGTCCCAGAGGGCTTGGGAGAACCTGGGCCACTGTGGCAAAAGCGGAATATTGGGGGGAGTGAGGAAAGGGGGAGGTTGGTGTTTGGGCATTTCTGTTTACCAAGCTGTGGGGAAGAATTTCACTGTTTTAACAACTGGCGTAACATTTTGGTCTTCCCGGCACATTGACCGTTGGCCCTGGGGATGGCGAAGGTGAGGGCTTTGGGACAGGCTTGAAGAGTGGGCTCAGCTTTAGGAGGGGCTGAGGGGTCTAGGCGAAGGGGTGATTATGAGGAAGGGACAGAGGTGGGAAGCCAGCAGGCTAGGTCCTGAAGGGAGATGAGTGTGACGGGCCCACACGGTGAGGGTGTGCACGGTCACCCTGGTCCCGGCTGTGGCGGCAGAGTCTGACGCACTTGGTGACACGTGATCCACCCCCACAGCTGCGTTTCGCGGGCTGCCAGCTCTGGGTCTCCAGGTCCCTGTCGGGGGTGGGGGGTCTCTGCACCGTTGAACCGAGTCAGAAGGGTCTGGGTGTCAACGCTGCTGTCTGGCTGAGTGCAGGAATGACCTACACA